CTGCTGCTTTCAACAGATGATTTTATTTTCGTTAATTTTCTCTTATTCCTGTTAATTTCACTACCTTTGGCACGTTTGGTACATCTGTAGCGTACAAGCCTTTGTCTGTAAGTATTAATGAAAACTCTATCTGGGCGTATACCTGTAAGCAGATCGTAAACTTGAGGAGACCATCCTAGAACGAGCAAAGACCTTAACGCTCCATCATAACATCTTGCATAAAATGAATCACGGAAGCATTTATTGAATATTTTACCCCCCCCCACCTCAAATTTACATTTTATGCTTATCCACGACTCGGCTAAATTACTATTAAAGTTACCAATCAGATTGTAGGCCTTTTCAGACAGACGGATCAAAAATAGAAAAATGTGTCGTAACATCTCTTCAATATTACAACTTTTCTGTGATATTGTGTAACCACTCATTCTTAACAATTCAATTTCAGTTTCAGAATATATTTTTACAGAATCAGTCCAGTACTCACATCGGCTGATTATAAGGCCTTCTTCATCATTATTGGTATTTTTCATTTTGTTAACATTTGATTACGTTATGTTTGTTTCGTTTTCTTTATTTTTTTTAAAAATCTGTTGAATATAAATCATGTAAGCCAAAAACATGTCTCCCGGCATTTCGTGTATCCTGTTTAAGTTTTTTAATTGCTTTCATTTTATTGGTTTCTGAACTTCGCAGTACAATTGCACATCTTACTTATGTCATTTCTTAGGTTATTTCACGTGAGTTTACCTTTTTCTTTATAATGTGATTTCTCAGATACTAATCGTTCTAAATTGGATCTTAGACATTTAATTGCATAATTAGCACATTCAATGTTTTCTACAAATTGCCCCAAAACAGGTACATTCTTTATAATTTTTGCTATAGACGGAACTGTCTCCATCAGCAATTATTTGCATGTATCTCACACCATGTTTTTTTCACAATTTAAAAAAAAAAACCTAAAATGATCTCAATCTCCATTTCCTGTGAAAAGTCCAGTTTTAAAGCACTCATGCTGTTCTGGTTCTTGATTTGCAACTTCAGCACGGCTACATATATCACAATTTTTTTTTTATCTACATGGAGAAGTTTCTTTGTTCTTTTACCAAAAATGACGGCAACTCCAGCCATTGAATTGTAGCTATGTTTGTGACTACGCTTACTCCAGTCACATATAACAGTTATTGCTCATATACCTTGAAAATAATCGTCATTTCTTCAGCCAATTCACGCTCTTCTTGACCTGCTTTCACAATTTCTTGATAAAGAAGGAACTTCCACATACGACCAATTCCTGTATCATTTGAAAAGGATTTGATAATGCCTTGAAACCTATTGTTCCTAAAAAACAAGAATAAAGATCAACAAGGCAAAGGCAACGTTCACAGGACGCAGCCCCCAACACACTCAAGTAGGGCACCCAGAAGGCACCAAACAAAAACCTGGAGTGGACATAAGGGTGAAAGGAGTGGGACATGTAATGTGAAATAATATCAACTAAAACGGGCCCATAAGGGAATTAAAGGGATAAGGGCTGCAAGGGTGAAAAGGTGGGGAGGGGGTTAAAATTGGTGAGGGGGTGGATTGAGAAAATACCTACCGTCAACGACAATCCAACAAGACAGACATCATAAAAAATGTAAACATCCAAAACAAGTAACAATACAGACATGAAAAACACGTGAAGGAACACAGAGGGGTACCGCCTTTGAACGGTCAGTGGTAGTTAAACCACTGGGGAGTTTAAACCGGTTTTAGGCGCGCCAAACCTCACTCTTAGCCCCAATATGTTCCTGAAAGTGTAAATAAAATTAATCCACGCCAAGTGAAATTCTAACAATGGTCATGGTTACATTAGACGAAATAAATAAAATACATACAAAATTATGTAAATATGTAGAAAAAGGTACAGCCTAATGGCCATTACCAAAGTACTCGATGCCTTAAAGGAAGGCAGAGCAACAAGAAAATCACCTACAAGGGCCCGACGAAGCAAGACAGAAGACGAACAATAAGACAATTCAGCCCCAAATGGCTTTAAGAACTGTCCATCAAAGAGTCTCTCACTTAGTCCGTCAGATGTAAACCTTCTCCTACAACCATGCTACCCCAAACAGTACGAACATTGATATGTCACTGTTTTCCAGTTAAAAGGTCTTACCACCACATCCTGGGCATTTACAGGTAATGATTGTATAAAAACCATTCCTTTTTTTATCAATTTCTAGGACAATTACATTGTCATTTGAAAGAGCTTTAATGTGAGCTTCTGACATGTGAAGATATTTCTAAAATATGATCTTTAAGTTTATGCTTGTAAAGTACTCTGTAACCTTCTAGATTATCTTTTAATGAAGTTATACAAATCTTTCTTTTTCTTTATCGAACAAACATTAAAATTTTCTTGCTCTCTGAAAATTATTTTACTAAGTGTATATTTCAAACCTTGTTTTTATGCCTAATATAGTATGGATCCACATGTTTCAGATTCCTCAGCTTTTTCTCAACTTTTCGTCTTTCATAACAATTTTCCTTTTATACTTCAAACTATGAATTCCAGTAGCCTTATTAAAAAATTGTCCTTTCCCTTTCTTATTTCTTTAATTACCCATGCTGTAGGGCTAAAAATTACACAACAATATTTTCATAAATTTCAAGCGATAGGTTTACCACAAGTTATCCAAATAGTATTTTTGGTGATTTTTGTTTTTCAAATGATAAATACACTCATACAGCAATGCACATCAGTACACCATAACGAGTAACTTGTAAATCCATTTTCATTCATGCCATTTTACGCTTTATGAGATTGAAAATTATCTTTGTAAATCAATATAAGTTTCAGGCTTACTTACCTACAAGGCTAAATTAAAATAATACAGTTTCAGAAATATTCCAAAAAAATAAATTAGAATTAATAAAAACGTTTCTACAGGGGATTCAAGACCTGTTGTTTTTGTATGAAAATTATTTGTAAATTCTAAATCATCGTACAACATGGCCGATCGGTTCGATGATTTATGGAATAAAGAAATTGAAAAGAAAGAATCACTATATAAATTATACTTGATACATCTGATCTTATAGGTAATAAGTTAAAAATATATGAAAAGAAGATTTTCCGCCGCAACATGTCTACTTCTCCGCCAGATTTGATTACTTGGTACCCATTCTAACAAACTATAGGTATTATTACGCTTGCGACAGTCGGGTAACCATACATAATGCATTCCGCGGAATTGTACGGAATTAAAAGAACGTACGCGATTGTTCATAGTTCGTTCATATATTACGTGTATTTGAAATACGTTGGTTTTAATGATATTTTTTAACAAAGACGAAAACAAAATAATAAAAGAAATGTCACTTTCATTAAGATACGCCAAAATTACACAATCTTTCAAGTGAGGTCTACTTAAGTGTATGATTTTTTTTACTTTCTTCCGTTATGCGGTCAACAGAAAGCAGACAAATGTAAATAAATGCAAGAAAGATATTACTATGTCAGGTATAAAGCGATCGAATTTTAATTCTATGTATTAAGGTTTGTTCTATGAATATTTTTGTTCATGGGAATATAAATCAGTTTTAATCTAGTTGACAAACGCAATATCCTTTGGGGGAAAAACGACGTGAAAACAGACAAATTGAATAAAATGGCGGGTCAAAAATATATGTCGAAACACGTGAAATGTTTTGAATACGTAAAGTAGGGTATTTAACCCAAATTTATTACACGGATGCACAATATTGATATATTGACTACATATTTATGAAAATATTTTTATTTAATACCTAGTCTTAAAATAGAATTTTGACATAGCAGTATGTGTGTAACGTTCAGTTTCAAACTTGTGCAACACTGTCACATACTGACTTGGAATCAATAAGTCACTCCAATGGTTACATTTCCATATAATATTTATTAACTTTAAACTTTTTTTAGTCAAAACTCTTCTCTATTTTGCAATTCAGCAACTCTAAATTGATGTTGAGTAGTAGAACATTCACAAGTTTGATGTGCCTTAACCTAAATATCGTAAATACATGGACATCATAGTTGAAAAAGCAATGAAAAACAGAAATATATTTCGTTTCCTTTCACTTTTTTCCAGTTTTCTGACGGAAATGGTTAAAATCAGTTTATAAATACGACTTCTGATAAGTGAGGCATTTTGATTTCACATTTTTTCCTTTATTCTATACGTTGATAAATACTTTTATAAGAAAACATGATTTGACCTCCGAATAGATAGTATCACTACCGTGCATTTCAGTTTTTAAATCAAGGTTGACAACTGTATATCCTTTTTTATTCACCACCATTAACGATTATCTCCCGTTTGTTCATATTACTGAAAAGTATATCTAAAGTATATTGTATATATACAATCAATAAGTATCAATAAGTGTCTTTTCTTTGGGATTATCGTACTGTAAAAATATTTGTGGCGGGTCATACGATGCGCGCGGATCCTCAAAATTGTGATACCGAGAACACTTTTCCCCCCGGTATTTGGAACAAAAACGAGTTATGTAAAACAAACAGAATATATTTGAATTCAATTTCTTTTGCAAAGAAAATGTCCTTACTTCTTGTTTTAATATTCCATGTGCCTTGACACAACTCTTCCCTTTCTCGTCAGTATTTCTCGTTGAATGCGATTTGGATTCTGGATACTGCTTACACCTGGTGTTAAAATGTAACAGAAATTGAGAAATTGTCGATTAAACTGAAAGTTAGTTTATGATAGAATTTATTTCATAAATATATTTTTAATCATCGTTTTTTTTCTTTTGTGCGAAAAAATGTCATAAAACGAACTGTTGTAAATCCTTTTCTAAACTTAAATTTGATGTTTGGATTCTAATTAAATCGAGCTGAAAGTTAACTAATGACAAAAGCTACTGGAAAAGAACAATGGTTGATGTTGTTTGGAAATTATCTGCCTTTATTTTATTTGTGTTGAAAACTTCTCAAATTACAGTTTGGGAAATATCGCCTGCTATTTTTAAAGGTTAAAATATACTCTGTATCAGATACCGCCTGCATCATTCAATGACAGTTAAACGATTGCAATAGGACACCGCTAAAGATTGAATAAATTGTTGGAGAGGGGGTTGGGGAGAAAAAAAAGACTTCTGATACTCCAGAGACGAGCTTATATTTCGATCATCAATGAAAACAGGACGTAACGCATCGGCTAGACAAAATATTATGTATTCATTAATTAGGGAATTTCCAATTAATCATTATTATTGAAACTGTGTCATACATTAAGTGTGGAGAAAATGTACTATATACCGCCGCTCATTTAATGGACACCACTAAGTTTTTCTTTGACATGACGGGACTGAAACTAACTTTCCGAGATTAATATCCCGTTTGATGTAGGTCTAGAGCAATTTCTTTTGTACAAATTTCTAATCATTATATCACTCTGAATTTTTCACTTCATAAAAATTGACACAAAATTGAAAAACGTTGCAACGTTTTCACACAAATCGGACAAAAAAGAGAGCATGAAAATATTTTTTTCAATATAGTATTGGAATTAACTTTTGCATTTTTTTCTGTTTTAAGTGTCCCAGTTGTTCTATGTGTTGGACCTCAGTGGAGTTCCTTTAAACTATGAATGCATTCGTTCGTACAAATAATTATATCTTACATGTAACAGAAATTATTGCGACATAGCATGCCCTTGTTAAACTGTTGTTTTGCTCTATTTAATATTTATTTCATTTTAAGTTATTGGAATATCCATCTTAACGTGTGAAAGGTCCTTCCATACTTTTTGAACATTTTTTGTAAGTAATGTTCTAAATTTTTCCATTACAGTTGTGTCAGTTACTCTCTGGAGTTTGTCCTTTGGGTTCTCCCAATTTCGATAATGGTGTAATAGACTAATGTTTGCAGGTACAGTCACCCAACGAGAACGCGGAACTTCATGTACCAACATGTAGTCAATATCTGCAGTTTTCGCGATATATTTGGATCTCAACTTTCCTGGAAATATCTTTGCTTCGTGGTGAAATACTTGTAATGTTACTAGCCGAAATTCATCGGCTAATTTCTTGCTATCAAAAGGAATATCCAATTTTCCCCAGTCTTTTCTGAAGAATGTATTCTTGAATAAATATACTGAAAATTTTCCTTGTTGGTTTATGATATCATTCCAATTATTTGTATGTTTAGAGTGCGGAATTATAAACTCGTCTACGTCAAGGTTAACAACATATTCAGACAATTTCTTATTCCTGAACAAACAGTCATTGAGAGCGGCTGTCTGGCCAAAATAATGTATTTCTACTATTTGATTTGTTTTTGGAAATGTATCAACTCCCATTGGCAGTTGCCATTGTATAACTTCTGTCGTGTTCCTTTTGGTATAATAATCTAGAACCTGGGCTACATTAACAGCGCTGGAATAATTATAAATTACAAATTTATCTGCTCCGAGAATTTTATTCAGCTCAATCCATTCTACCAATTCATATGCACGACCATACCGGAAGTTCAGTGGAGAGAGACATACAGTGAACTGTGCATTGTATTGCACTGTTGCCACATCGTGTACGCGGATCAGGTTTAAAGGGCTGTCACAGGACTCTATTACCATTGATACATACGCAGGTATGTCTGGATGATTGATTGAACATTTGTAAATTGTTGATGCAAATCTGAAAATATACATGTTGTCATGGTAAACACCAATCCATATAACTCATGTGGTTTGAAAATTAGGCTATTTACTGTCGTATATAATCAATGTCAGTGTTATACATAAATAATATTCTAAAAAACGTTTATCTGTTTTATCAAAGTGGTTTCATTTGGCGACGAAGTCGCTATCTTACAACTATTGTGTATTTCATATTCAGTCTGTTATGAAATTTAAGATGACATTTATTGCATAGAATATCATCAGTCATATGTTTGAGAATTTTTTATTCTTTTTACAAGAAATGGGTAATTAACATTCTTATTAAAGTTTATACATGCAAAACTGCTTTGGTTTATTTTCATGTTTCTGTGTTTTACACGAGCAAAGTTCTGCCAATATTCTTTGACATACATGTATTATAGGTTCAACGATCATAGTGTCCGCTTATCTAATTTTTATTCATCCCAGTTTTAAAGCTGCATGCCTCCAGATGAGCCAAAAATATTTCAAGATAATCAACATTGACGAAAATGTACTAAAATTTTTAGAGAAATGAAAATATTGACAATTCAAGAAATAATTTACATGTCATATGTAATTATAACTGACATTGGCGTATTCATTACCATATTTTTACGTCGTTACTACCACAGTACGGACTATTTTTCGCATATTCCGACCTATTTTGGTATTTTTTCGTAGTTTTAAAAAGATTTCGGCATTTTACAGTTGATCTAAATATTGATCCTGATCATAAAATTGATCCGATCTTTTTATATTATGTACAGACTCAATAAAACTGAGTCTGCAATTTTCATGCAATGTTGCTGTGGTTAATGCTTTGTTTCCAAATTTTTCATTTTGTGCAAATCAGCATTTTTTACATTACCATTTAATTCTAGGAAAATACGATCAATTTTAGTTTTATAAAACAATGAAAATTAAATCACGGTCCTGATATTCTGTTAATGAACCCGCGACTAGGTGATTATGTACACAAATGAAAAGATAAACATGGTGTTTCAGCAATGTATAGAGTAGCAAATTAACGTTCTTGCTTAAGGCATTAGAATATTAATAAATAGAACAACAATTATCACAGCATATCGTCCTCAACCACCCAGAAAGATCGAGATTTTGTATATACAGTTGATCATATCTATACAAAAGAAAAGTAGAGGTTGACATTTCAGTCTTGCCCCAGAATATGTGAAATCCGAGAAACGTCAAAAAGAAGCACAGCAACTAGATCTATTTGATAAAATATGGATGACAATCATCATCATGAAGGGTAGAAAGATACTGAATTATTTTTCTTTTCTTTTCCATTGACAAGTTTTAAATTTCATGCCTACTGATTTAAAGATATGACATTGGCTGAGGACGTTTAGTTTGATGATGTAAATGGGACATTTATGTTGAGGAAAAAAGCTTGAATTTTTGCATTGACTGTCTATATGAACCCTGGGATAGTTCAGTTAAAAAAACAGATGTCTATATGTATTGTTCCCCATTGGTTATTCTTATAAAATAATTAACAACAAGCTGGAAATATTGGAACAGAATCTTCAACTTAACCAGTTACATCATGTCCTAGTTATGTTTCTTTATCATTATATATAATATTTCTCTACAACAAATACTAATATAAAACTTGTTTGTTAAAAGTTTTGCTGGAAACATTATAAGTAAATATAATCCGAACATTGACCTTCAGGAAGGGATGTAATGAGTTTGCGTCAGGATATCTAAAATGTGTCACTCATAGTAAAGTTGTACGAGTATGGTCAGAAACAATTACAAACAAATCTTATTAAAACCCCTGTATAAAGTGTAATACATACATGTATTTAGACTTTTTTGTTTAACCAAATTGATAAAGAAATAAATAGTGATTCGTTTACTGAATCATATATAAAAGTTAATAAAACCCTTTGATACAAACGTTTGATTATATCCATCCGGCATTGCAGTTTCTGTTGCCATTGTTTCTTGTGTTACAGTTAAATACCCATTAACATCCCATGACCACAGCTGACAAATCACTCGAACTGATTTTCGGGGTTTTACTCCAATAATGTAAACCTTAGATTGAGTATAATAGGCAGAAAACACATACATGGATTTTTTCATGTCAACTTGCTGCCAGGTGTTTGCTCTTGTTTCTAAATCAGCATGAAATATTGTTAAGTTGCATAAACCTCCTTTATTCTTTGCTTCAAATTTTTCGTTCTGTTTGGCTTTCTGTATTTGCCTAAACTTAGGACTAGCGAGGTATTTGCTTCTTGTAATGTCATCAATTTTGCTGGTAGTTCCATGTCTACCTTTAGGTGTCTGAACGACATAATCATTTGTACGATCAGAGGTTAACAATTTATCGGCATGCGAATTGGCAGTCTTTTCAATATCTGTAAGATGTTTCCCGAAATAAGTTTTAAATTTGTTATGGTTGTTAAACTTTGCGATGTACATGAAGAGCGCAATTCCCCATATATACATAAGTCCCAAACACAGTCTCTTTATATGAACTCGCATTTCTATACAACCAAATTTCACAACTTTTATGAACTTGCAGGTTATTAAATGAACACTCTTCCTTATTGATACACAGTATATTTGAGCGATTGTGAAACTATAACGACAATATTTGTGTCCGAGAAAATAGAGAAAATATATACATTTATCGATCAACGGAGCTGTCTAAAACATATCACTGAATTATTGAAATGTCTTCTATACTACTTTTATAATGATAAACATATTTTTAAATGAGATATGTAGCATGTGTTATTGAACATATGTTGATAATACAAATCACGTTTGTTTGTTTGTTTGTTTGTTTGTTTATGTATTTATTAATTTATTTTACACAGGTATTGGCCGCTTGTTTTTTTGTCAATAATTAATGGTCACATTTAAACTGTGGAGACCGATAATTTTGACTGGTCCACCTAAGGCACCGCATATCAACGTTTTAACGGAATATACAAAAGCGAAGTTTTGCGTGCTCCGTGTGTACATTATGTCTTTGATAGAACATGGTAATATTTGTTCCATCAAAATCATATTATCGCATCGTTGTGACAAGATCTGTAGAAGAGTTAAATAACAGCAAAAATTAACCGTTCACCTTTTTTTTAGCTTTACCTATTTTCTATATTATTCTCTTTGGTCATGTATTTTTAATTAACTTCTTGTTCTTTTAAATTTTTGTACTTACGCTTACTTCAGAATGTACATTGCTTAAACAAAAGATAGAAATAAACATTAATAGCAAATGACTTTATTCAAGAACTTTACCAGATATGGTAGTGAATATCTTACGTCCGTTCAACAAAGATATCGTATGCCAAACATAGCGTTTATAAAATATTTGTTGGTTTTGTTCATATAATTTTTCTTTTTAAACAGTAGGCAGTATTTTCATTTTCAGTGTTAAGCCAATCTAGAATCACTAAACAACTGTTCAAACATTTTTATTTAATCATATAAGAAACAAGTTACATTTACAAGATGTATGGGAAATGTTAATTTCAAAGAGTCTTTTAACCGACATTTTTGCAAAAACATACTATATCCAAACCCTCATTTCAGGCTCGTTCCCCTGAGTAAAATCTAGTAATTGTCATAAGGATAACCAAAATGGTTGACATAGTAAATAATAAATATCACTGGGTATATAATTGTTCTATATCGGCGAAAAGTAAAATGATAGCTGCCTGGATTTATTTCTTTACATTTAACACTTCTTAATACCTCCATGTCGATGTTCTGCATAACTGTTTAAGAAAAAAAACTGTCCGTATTCAAACTCTTAATTCCTTGCAATTATATTCATTACAGTGGAATAAGCGAGAGAAAAATATTGTTTTGGCCTCAAGTGATAAAAGGAGACAATGTTGTCGCTTGATGTCATTACTTTCGGATCTGCTGTGAGATTTCCAATTCCAAAATTGAATTATCCGACAGTGTAAGCGACACCTAAAAGATCAATAGTTTCACTACATGCATGAATAATTGACAACAAAGAGAAAGTTTGCTATCACTTTAGCAGCTGAATTTAGAGGCGGAAGATCTATTTATGACTTTTGTTGTTAAGTAACCTTAGGCTATTCCAGGACGCCGCTTAATTATTTATATACACTAATAGATTCTTATAGTCTATAATTAATACAGATATAAACGTTGTGGTATGCGCTATATATATATATATATATATATATATATATATATATATATATATATATATATATATATATATATATATATATATATATATGTTTGTTGTAAAATGACAAACAAAATTGTTCTAGAACAAGAGGCAGGGAATATGTCCCCGTAGTATCAGTTTGTCTCTGTAAAGATAAATGAGCTGTTAATAGCTTCAATACAAGAGAAGAGAACGAGCTATAGATGTGTAAAATATTGAAAAATAGAAAGATGAGGTTAAGATTGAGAAAGTACTCTAAAACAATACCAGGATGTTTTGTTATAGTGTTCTTATTGTATTTATTTTATGTGAATAATTTAAGCAACGTATCTGAATATAAACCTAAAAATAGGATTAAAAATTTAACATTAAGTCGTCAGGATACTAACAGAAAGGAACATTTGGACAAACTGTTAGAGCATCGGAAATTCGGCATTTGGAAATTAAATAAAACCATTTCGCATAGTGCTAGTGGTTGTGGTCAGGTTTTGTTCGCGGTTTTATTAGCTCGGAAAGAAAGTTGGAGTAAAGTAGACAAAAATAGATCGGCATTTGTGTTTTCAGCGTATCTTGTTAATAGACAGAAGATTGTTGTAATTGGAATTAAAGCTATGAACATTAAACCATACTATTGTCAGATTTGGTATCAAAATCAAACACAACAAAAAATGGAAATGAAGATTAAGCAAGCTGAAATCATAACCGTACCGGAGGGGCATGGTTTAAGGTATCAAACTATTGTTCATTCATTCATTCACCATTAATTATTTAATTAAATAATTCGTTCATTATTTTATAATTTGAGAAAAAAGTAATGTCAGCCAAATACTTTATCAGTAGTACATAAACATGTATGTAATGATCAGACATGTATTACTGGAACTTGTACTGGAGTATTTGTGAAAAATTCGACTATTGGTACTCTCTAAAAATGGTGGTGCTATTATATACTGAAGTACCGAGGCAGCTCTTTGGTTTTCATAAAAATGTCATTTTTTTGAAAGAGCAAACTTGTAAATCTTATAATTTTATTATTCTTGTTTTATAAAAAACAAACTTTTACATCCTATATATCAGTAATAGAAATCTATATAGAAAATTCTACAACATCAAAATGTACATTTAGAAAAAAAATCGAAATGTAGATTAATTTGGACAAGTTTATGTTATATTTATTTTTAGTATAATAACAGTTTATATGTATATCTGCTTTAAGCAATCATTTTCAGGGATTTACTCACTCGATGTGTGATGATATTATATTACTTTACTTCAAAACTTATTGGATAATCGCGACGTGTGTTTTACACAATTTGTGGAAATATTCTTAGAACCCAACCTCTGATATTTTTTGGGATATGTGTGTATATAATTTTATACACATTTTTCAGAAATATTTGTTTGTTTTGTATACAATTTTATGTTATTTTATAACTTCATATCGACATTGTTTTATACATGTATGTTTTTCCGTCATTTATTATTAAAAGGCCATTTCAATTTTTAAAGCGTAGTTGTTATTCTTGAAAATTATCAAACAGAGAAAACTTCTTCAGGCAAAAATACAGCAAATTGAAATGCTGACATAAAACTGAATTTACTGCAAATTAAATGTTTTTATGGTCACTTACAAGCTTGATGGTGGGTTTCATTAGGTCTCAAGTCATAGGACTAAATATATTGGGTTCGAAACTAGTACGTACTAGTAAGTACAATAAGGTTATCGTTACAAGTAAGTACAATGTGCTAATTTTTGTAGATTAATTAAGTCGGCCATTTTAGAAGAAAAAAGATTCATAACAATTTTCAATAAACCACCATTCCACCCACATTCAGCATTTTCAATTTATAACAAATTTATGCACATCAATAGGGTGTTTGTGTATGTATATAATTCTATATACAAATGATTGTTCTTTAAACTTCAGGACATGTGTATATTTTTTTATATGCAGTTTTAAGCACTATTTTAGAACCCAACCTTTGATATTTTTTGGGATATGTGTGCATATAATTTTATATACATTTTTTCAGAAATGTTTGCTTGCTTTGTATACAATTTTATGTTATATTATAAATTTCATATCAACATTGTTTTGTATGTTTTTCTGTCAATTATCATTAAATGGTCATTTCAATTTTCAAAGTGTAGTTGTTATTCTTGACAATTATCAAACAGAGTAAACTTCTTCAGACAAATATACAACAAATTGAAATGTTGACATAAAGCAATTTTGCTGTACTATAAATTCGTATTAAAGATTTTGACGGATTATATGTCAGTGTAAAAACGGCTGCTTGCAATATAACCATAGCATAGCGACTCTGGTTATATAAGTTTACAACCGTACATATTTGGTCATAAAATCTGTCAGAAATATTTTTAACTGTTACAATATAACCATTTTCACAGATGTGGTAATATAAACGACAATTAACATATAACGTTATACAAGTTATGTTGCTACCGACTGTTTAAGCATATTTTGTTCTCTTTATTTCAGATATACGCCTGTTTTGTTTCAATGCTTACTTTCAAAATCAACTGGTCATGAATTCCCTACGCACGTCTCCATGGTGCAAGAAAAATGCAGGAAGCCTGAACATTTGCTGGAACTCCACATTGTCAATACTGAATATGACCAACATCGGGACACACATAGAATGTTCACTGTTTGTCTAACGCCATTGAATTTTCGATATAATCGTGATTATGAAATCATAGAATGGATAGAATTGAATAGAATTCTCGGCGCAGAACAATTCATTGTTTACAATTACTCTTCCGGAAGTGACGTACAAAATGTTCTAGAATATTACTCCAAACAAGGGATAATTAAAGTAGTGCCATGGAATTTACCGGTTAAAGTAGATACCTTGCCAAGGTCTAATAATAAACCAGAACTTCATTATTTTGGTCAAGTTGCCGCTTTACATGATTGTTTGTACAGAAATAAGGGCATCTCGGAATTTATTGTAAACCTCGATCTAGATGAATTCATAATACCACATGATAACAAAACAAAGTCATGGTCAGACATTATTCAACAAGTTAAACAAAACTTTAACGCATATTTATTCAGAAACACGTTCTTTAAAAAAGAGTGGGACAATTCAGATATTGATATACAAAACAAATCATTGGTGGACAAACTTCAATTAGTTACTCTCCAGAAGTTACAACATGAAAAGAAATTATTTGCGCCAAGAAGCCGCTCAAAATATATAGCCAAAACTGCAAATGTTTCACATTTAATGATACACGAAGTACCAGATGTGAACACGAAGGTCGTGCCACCAGAATTAGCTTTTCTTCATCATTATAGAGATTGGGGAACTAAAAATGACTCTCCACGCAGCAGAGTGCTAGACAATACTGTACCAAATAAATTTGGTAATACTCTAGTGAAAAATGTGCTTAAAGTCCGGAGTGATATTGAAAAAATGCCCTAACATGTTTGTTTTTGTTGCTTTTTATTCAAGTTTTAGCTAAGCGATTTATTTTTTTCCCACATTTTGCATTATTGCAAGCACTCCCTAAGATAAAAAAATGATGATGTAATACTAAATGATAGTTAATAGTAATGATGATATAGTGAATATATTTTTGCCACAGATAATAAATATTTTCATGTTATTATATCGTGCTTTGTTTACAAATGGTCAACAATGCCTTCTTCTGATTATATTCTTTCATTTTTTCATCTCGTGATGATTTCAGAAACTATTTCTACTTATCAACTTACAGAATTAACACAAACAAATTAGAAACTTTTTGAAATGAAGAATGAACAAAATGAACATATCAGAAGCTGTTGATACATTATTTCAGAAACTCACTTTCAGGTTAGATATAAATCATAACTAACATTTTCAGAAACCTTTTAAGATTCTGAAATAAAAAATAAGTATTTTTAGAAACATTTTCCATTGGTCTCAAACATCATTTTAAACTTCCAGAAAATTTTCAAATTCATAACACTGTGCTTTACTTATTTCAGAAACTCTTACGCCTTTGCGAAGGACCTCCCCATTTCCAGATAAATTTTGACAAAATTTCATTTTTGTTTGAGTACTTCACTGCTGTTGTATTTTTCTGGTTTTTCGAGATCATCGAGTCCAGCACTTTAAGTGTTGAGAATTGAGTACTGTTCAAGCCGGTGTTAGGGGGCATGATGGATGTTGCACTTTTTATTTTTCCACATGTACAGACTCAATCAAACCGCGTCTGTAATTTTCATGTAATTTTGCTTTTTTTAATGCTTTTAATGGATCTTTTTTCCCAGATATTGAGATATTAAACTTTACAGTTTCAGAAAATCTTTAGACTATTCATACAACAAAAGTAATTTCAGAATTCCTTGGACTATCAAAATGTGTTCACACAACAAATAATGTTAGATTCAAAGCTGCATGCCTCCAGATGAGAGAAATTTTTTCAATAAAATCAAACTTGAGAAAAATGTACTACGATTTAAGGAAAAGTAAATATATTCAAGACTCAAGTAATAATTTATATGTTATGTGCAATTTATGACTGATTTTTCAGTATGAATAACTTAACTTCTACTGCGTTACTACTGCATATTTATACCTCTTTATAGTAATTAACGTGGGTTGTAAATGCCATTGATGATCTCTAAATTGCTTTCTTTTGGTAATTTCACTAAATTATAGTAATAAACACATTTTCAAAATTTTCATGAAAATTAGTATGAATTTGGAGCTTTAAAATCCATTGGTTTTGAGAGTTATTAAAATAAAAGAAAGACTGATTTACAGTGACTATTTGGACTGGTTTAATTAAAACATATTAAATCAGAAAGTTCAAGAACTCTTTGGACTAAAGCAAAAACAGCATGCATTATTTAAGGATTATTTGGACTGGGCCACAGTATCTTATAAATACTTTTTCCAAAACTCTTTTGACCGACAAATCATTTTAGAAACATCGTCAATTTATTACGAAATACATCTTGAAATTGAATTCATAAAAAAAGATTTTACTTATTCGTATAGTCCGTGAAACAAATACATGCATGAAACACATAAAAAATCATCAAGGTAAGGCGGAACTCATGAACGCATCCCCGAAATAGGACCACCAGAAAGGAGCACAGAAGCACATCAAACATAAAACATGGCACCAAAGACACATATCAAACATGAACATGCCCAGACTACAAATGAACTGTTAATAATTCGTGGTACAATGTCATTACAGTGAAATATCGCACTACAGACTTCAAATACCATGAGTGTCTCTACACGGCTTCGGTAACTGTCAATGGAGATTACAACATTCATTTATCTTCCATCCCGTCGGACAAAACATATAACATGTTCAATGTTCTCTTGCAATATTTGATAGTTCATTTGCAAAATTTTGTGCATCGATTTCAGTGGTAATGAAGCATTTTTTCTCCAAATTCAACTAGTTAATGAAATAACACCCACCATGAGACATATTTGTTGCTGTAAGGTTTTGTCCCATTGTGTCAAGTGGTCACTTTGGGAGTGTTAAACAAAATTAAGCGTTCGTTCAGCGATATATTCAAGGTATTTCAGATAAAATCTGTAATTGAGACTAGTGTCAACAGCGGACAAATGTTTGTACAACTTGAAGTAATGAGTCAATATAAAGACTGATATAAGCTCTATTGTGACTTTAAACAGAACCCATCTGCACCTAACGTTTGTATATCAAAATATCTTTAACAACCAAAATAAACAGTATGTTTTGTTAAGAAAAAACTTAATGTCCAAATTTTCAGGAAATATTCACTAAGATTAAATCAACCATGTAATTTGATACTATTTGATTATTTTTTTCAAATATAATACTTAAGCAACGAGAAAGATATTTCTTAGTCTTAAAAATACTGAGTATAAATTTATACGGTGCCCAATCTCCATATTTTAAAATCCGATATATAATAGTAGGATGGTAGGTTTCTTTTAGGATCACAAAAGTTAGCCACTTTGAATGCGCTAGTGCCCACTTCAGTCATCAAATCGTTTCTGGACAGGCTGTCAAGCAGTTTAGCAATACTACTTGGCTTCACTTTTGCAAGGAACTGATAACTTCTGTACAAGCCAGAGTAGACGTAAAGTGCGAATTACTGTAGAAAGGAGTTCATGATCAATCACAACGAAAGTAACTTTCACCGCCCTTGAATCGAACCCGGGTCCCCCGTTTTACAGTCCAACGCTCTATCTATTAACATCTGCAGAGGCACGAGGACACTTTTGAAGCAGAGCTTTCGCAGGTACTATGTCAGAATAAGGATTAACGTAGTAAAATTGCCTTTTTTTGACGAAATGTTACTTCGTTTTTACGAAATATCATTACATTTTTACGAAATATATTATGTTTAAACGAAATATTATTACGTGTTAACCTATTAAAAAAAAGCGTCACGAATGTCAATTAAGGGTATATGTCAATTAATGTTATTCTTTAAATGTGTGTTTAACTACATGTATCTTCAACTGTTATAATGTGATAAAATTACTATAATTGAATTGAACTATTGTTCTTTTATTTTGTACCATGCGTATTAAAACAAATAATGCATTGTTTGTATAAGGATAATAATACTCGTAGTGCTACATTTTGAAGGAATTCATGAAACAAAACAGTAATATCAAACACTCTTATGAGATTTAAAATTAGAAGAGTATGCATTTGTGTTATTTTAGTACAAGTTTTCCTGATAACACTTCATGTGATATTTTACCAGAATTTTACAGGATTAAACACTTTATCAACAAGAAAAAAAGATGTGCATATATTCACGTACGTACGGAGACAGGCGACAAATAAGACGATAGATAACACAACTCTACACACTGAATATAGGAAAGGCAAGCATAATGATAAGAATGGAGCAACTGACCGTGACAATCCAGGTAGGATATTTACTAAACTACTACAAACTACAGTTACAACGAGGCAAAAGGTGGAAAAAATTGCTCATAACACAAGTCAAACACGAAAAAGGAAAATGATGTCTCTCGGAAGAAAATGTCTCGATGTTGAATTTGATGCTCGTGTAGAAGAAAATGATGATTGGCAGACCGTTGACAGTAATACAGCGTTTGTGTTTTCCTCGTATTATGTGGAGAAAACTAAAACTATCATCATTATCGGGGCTAGGTCACAGCATCACTTGGGATACTTCTGTCTCCTTTGGCATGACAACAATGGGAAACATACTGCGGAACAAGTTGATGCAAGCGTTAAAAAGCTCCCAGAAGGTCATGATCTATGGTATGTCAAGTATTTTATAGTTCTAACTTGTCTTTATATGATCTTTAGAGAACCGGTTTGATATTTATATCCCGTTTTAGGTTCTCTTGTACAGTTTAGATTATATTACTTTTAGTATTTCATTTCAGTTAAAAATCATGTAAATCAATTTTTTTTATGGTTTTATATCATAAACATGATGCTCAAATGAAGATTTATCAATATTGTAAGTTCCAAAACCATAATTTGTAAAGATATTACCAAATTTACACTCCATGTAAATAAAGGGAGTTAATTGAAATTTATTTTTGATAAAGTCTAAGCCAAATTTTTCAATATGAAATGAATGCATATATTTTAATGATTACATTTTACTTACAATGTGCAGTAACATTTGCAACACATATTTAACATAGTCTTGGATGTTTGGAAATTGTTTAAGAAGAATAATTATATACATACATGTATATAAGATTTCACTTAAGTGTTGTTACATCCTTAATTACAGCATAAATAAAATACACTACCATGATGCACACATAAGATTATTGCATTTCAGTAGGTATGTAACTCAGTATAAAGGCAATGAAATTATTTCCCTATATGTTTTGTTCAATTTTCCCTAAATAGATTACTTAGGTATTTCAAAAGCATTTGTATTGATCTCGTTTGACTCGGAACTGGCGTCTGATTATGATAAAGCAGACGACGTCAAGTTAACTTAATTGTCTAGATTCATGATTAAAAATCTGTCTTACGAGACACTCTGTCAATTATTTATGTGATTTATTTGATTACCAAATAGCTGAAAATAGTCTAATATATAACAACTTACATACAATCGTTACCATGAAAAAATCATTATAAACAAAAACATTCACCCATTAGTTATTTATGATATGGAGCTGAAATATAATGAACCGTATTTGATAATTCAGGTATTCAGCCGTTTTCTTCGAGTGTAAACTGTCATCACACAATATCCTACCATCACATGTATCCGTGGTAAGGGCACCTTGTTCAAAACCAGCTAATATACTGAAGGTACGTGGCACAGTGCAACCAGAGCAGTACCCACGTCGCTTTACTGTTTGTCTAACCCCACTAAACACCATTACGGTCGTGTTTATGAGTTAGTTGAGTGGATCGAATTGAACAGAATAATGGGCGCCGAGAAATTTATAATTTATAACCATTCTATATCAGATAATATAGCAAACGTTCTGGACTACTACAGGGGTATACATTTAGTAGACATTGTTCAATGGAGGTTACCAATGAATACTGACACTAAAAACGGAACAAAGCTTCCAGAAATTCATTACTTCGGTCAGATAGTTGCACTTCATGATTGCCTATATAGAAACAAAGCTGAATCCGAATTTTTAGTCAACATAGATCTAGATGAGTTTATTGTTCCCCATGACGACAATGTTAGTGAATGGGGTGATATGATTAAACAACTTCCAAAGGAACCAGGTGCTTACATTTTTCGTAGCACATTTTATAGGAAAGAATGGGAAAATATGTATCTGTCAAGTAAGGAATTAGTTGATAAATACAGGCTTATAACGCTACAAAAGTTAAACCACGAAGAACATATATTCCATGTAAACGAAGATCAAAATACTTTGCTCGAACATTTGATGTTAGACAGGTTATGATTCACGGTGTTCAGTTTTTGCCGACGAAGAAAAAAGCTCATTCTGTACCTGTTGAAGTTGGCCTTCTTCATCACTATAGAGACTGGGAGAATGAAATGTCTCTTCCTGAGATAAAAGTGTTTGATGACACAATACCGCGCAAATACAGTAAAACCCTGATCGAAAGGGTGGCTAAAATTTGGTCAATATTGAAAGATGTAAAGATGGATGCAGTTAACTAGTGAATTGCTTTTACTTTAAATGGAGGGATAGTGAAAATGACGTTCATAAACGCATCTCGTTTAAGTTTTATGATAATAATTATTAGAGAATGATCCATGTATATGCTTCCAGAATGTATATAAAATATATTATATATGAATGATTTGATCCCTAGACTGTTAGTACATGTATATTGTTGTTGTTTTTTTGTATCTAAAAATAAAAGTTTAACAACTAAATACTTGCTTATAAAACACATAAACACATGCAGTTTGACCGTAGTCCGGTGGAATAATTATAGACATCTTAGACAGAGGACTTAGCCGGTACAATGAGATATGCAAATTTTGTTTCCTTGATCTTCTGAACGTCTGAAAGTACTTATTCCTACAAAATATAACAATAGGTTACAGCCAGAATTTTCTTAAGTTCATCCTGATATGTAGTAAATGCAAATTTTATTCCGAGAAACACTGCAAAATATCGTTATCATGAACTTTCAATATTTTACTAAGTGATACATGTACGCCATTTCCGGTTTGAGGTCGAACCTGTATCATAGGTATCTATGTGTTTCCGGATTTTATTAGGATTATACAAAGGCAGTTACCGATAATTATACGCTTACATTATGAAAAATAAACTTATTTAAGTTTGTTCTAAAAAATCAAATATTAACATTGGCACGTAGACACGTACATATGTTGAGCTGACTACTCTTTTTACTTTTCTTTTCCTTGTAAATGTTTCAAGCATCTTTGCAGGTCGATTATGTAGACAATTATTCTCTGTAAAGTCAATAGATCATTTCTTTCATCATCGTGAATAGAAGATTAATTGTTTTCATCTTTAATTAAGGTTTGCTAGATTTATCTTTCAGTTTCATATGTAACTGTACCAATCAGTATACAAACAGATGTCAATATCTGATACCCGTGTTTCGCAAGTAATTACCGTCGCAAGCAAGTAATTTACCTGTTTTAGTTCTTTCATTAGGACATTTCCCAAGTAGTTTTAAGTATTGACTTATTTTATGATGATGATTTTGAGAGGATAAAGCAATCAAGGGGGGAAGAGAATGCAAGGTTCAAAGAACACATTTCCTACAATATCTTGCAGCTAGAGAAACGAAACAGAAATGGGGAAAGTTGCCAAAACATTTTTCGCTGGACTTTGTTGCAAGAACAAAACAGAGCAGAACAGATAATTTATTCACACATAGATTTGTACATAGTTTACCATTTTGTTTATACATATACATGTAAATAAATATATTGTTAACGTGAGATACGAAAAACTTATGTTTTACAGTAATGTTAAAATTCGGTACATAAAATCAAAACAATTTATTATACATAAAGACATAGACCAGGTACCATAGTTATCTTTCAACGGTTAATAATGAATTTCTTAAACGAAGAACGTAACGACAGAAGCTGGCATTGAGTTTATTTCTGAAAACAATGAAAACAAGTAGATATTTTGGTGCTAAAGCGTCAGGTCGCCGGATAGTAAAATGGTTATATTATCATAAATGTAGGACAAATATATGATTTAATGGTTCATGTATAAAGAAAAGAGGAGCACTATTTTTAGTTACTGTTTATTCACAATAAAACATCATATTTAAAATAAGCAATATTGTCAAAAAACTGTGAACATTATGAAATAAGCAAGTGATAACACTAAGTTCAGATAAACAAAGAAAACAATAAAAGTAAAGAATTAACAAACTCATGTACAGACTCATTCAAACCGAGTCTGCAATTCTCTTATAATTTTATTGTGATTAATGCTTCCTTGGGATCACTTTCTTTCCAGATTTTTTGCAATGTTTAATGATTTTATGAAACAATGCAATTCTAGTGTAATTTTATACTGACTACAAAATTCTAATAATAACAATTATATACATGAACATAAACTTAGGCAAATATTGTGTGTTAACAAAAACTTTTATTTTTCTACACGTGTATAATGCTATAAACAAATTCAGTGTATTCAATAAAAGTACTCGTTCAAGTATTGTGATTCCCGCATTTCATGTTTGTTAATAAATAGCTCAGAATATATTTAAGTCTTTAATTGAAATAAACATACGCGTCGTTACATACGATATATAAAAAGTTAACGTTTAATTGCCTTTCATTGCGACAAAATTTAATATCAACACAAATGTAGTTTATTAGTTTTCTCTATGCATTTAATACGATCCCGGATCCTAGGTGTCGCGGATCCCGGGATTTCCCCCTACCGTCTTACCGTTTTGAAAACCTGCGCGACGAAAATCGACAAAATATATTATCACTATTTATATAATTAATAAATGTACCTCTTTAGCATAAATTTATTTTGTGATGTTCAAAAAACTATTGAATTTATTTTTGATGTTCTTGTCCGAAGTTTGACGGAAAGGGCCAAGTTCAACCCTTTACTATGGAAAATGGAAAATGTTTTGAAAATTTATTTTTTAATGTGTAAAATATGAGTTTACAGATCTTTCTAATAATATACAATATTTAGCTGTTTCATGTAAAATAATTTTGTAATCATTAATACAGAATTACTATGATTTGCATTTATCAGCCATCATATCTTTTGCCAACCATTCACAAGTTAAGTATATTTTACCAACAAATTGTTACTATTGAAAGATTTCATAATAATACCATGCAACGAGCCATCCTTGCAAACATGACTACACCTATACTGCCACAAACGAATTCAGTGTATTCAACAGTTTATAAAAACATTGAATATACTTAACCACTCATTGCTTGATTTCATAATTTCTATGACAACTCTTTACTGTGGAAGATAATCATTATTTGCTATTTATTACTTTCCCCCAACTCGTTCCAAATACCTAAAACATTATGAATTAAAGTTTTTCCGTACTATCCATTACTGTTGTGACGAGTTTTCTTTCATTCGAAGAAACGAATAAATCTTCACAATTTCTGTAATAATGTAGAAGTCCTATAGTTGGAGGAACGACAAAATGCTGTTTATACGGTATCATAAGAATATCATGTATCATTATATTTGATACACGAGAAGTTCGTGCAAAATACTTCGACCTTATTCTTGCTGGAAAAATATTTTTATCATGTTCAAGTTTTTGAAGCGTAATCAAGTTGTAATGTTTTATAAAAGATGTGTTTAATGTGGATATAAGTGAATTATTCCATTCCAAGCAGAAGAATGTGTTTCTAAATAGATATGCTGAAAATGCATGTCTCTCTTGTTGGTATAATTGTTTTAACATATCTAACCAAGTAAATATTTCCTCCGACTGCGGGATTATAAATTCATCAAGATCTAAATTAACAATAAATTCTGAGATGTTTTTGTTTCTGTATAAGCAGTCATTTAATGAAGCGAGCTGGCCAAAATAATGAATATCGGCCGAAATGTTTTGTGCTGGATAGGTATCAACCGCCATTGGTAGCTGCCACGGCACCACTTCCGTTAAGCCTCGTTTTGAGTAGAATTCAAGCACGCGCTTGACGCTAACGGAAGATGAAAAGTCGTATATTATAAATTTTTTCGCTCCGAGAATTCTGTTCAGTTCTATCCATTCAATAAGTTGTGAATCATCATCGTAATTAAAATTAAAAGGGGCCAGGCATACTGTGAACAGTCTTTTTTGAGCAACTTTCTTTTCTGTTGAGACAACATTTAGAATATGAAGTGGAATTCCACAACTTTCATTGACCACGGAAACATAGTCTGGTAGATTAGATGATTGCAGCTGACATTCGAATATTGATGCAGAATACCTGAAAAAAGCATGTAGATTTTATATAAAAGATATTAATTACATACATGAATCTACTTTTCTGTAAGACATCTTTCAAAAACACATAAGAATCAGTCTGTTTTAATACCAAATAATTGTTAAAAAGAGGATATTGAATGAGTGTAGGTTCAGCACTGAATTATTCAAACTAGTTCAATACATTTTGAAATGAGGCCACACGTATATATATGATCAATAAAGTTATATAAACGTTTAAAAATATTTTCAATATAAGCATGATGAAAAGAAAATTTTTGTTAAAAAAGTCAAAAGCACCTTTTCCCGTGGCCTTCTGGCAAAGCAGCCGCTCTAGCTGGGTTTTGGACCATGTGATAAGTACGGTTTGTAGTCAAACTGTACCACATCTGACAATAATAAGTTGCATAATCTTTCACTTTAGCTCCGATGATAACCAGTTTACTTTTCTCCTTTAAATGATACATAGAGAATACATAAGCCGAGTTTTCTGTGTTTACTGGACGCCATGTTACTTCCGGTGATAAATGCGCAGGAAAAAGTAGTCCGGTACAATCACCGCTAACAACCTTATCTGGATAAGTTTCGGGTTTTATTCGTCTGTTTACCGTCTGGTTGCTTTCATGTATAATACCTTTATTGTTGTATGTTTCGTGATGTAAAGATTTCTCAAAATCGGAAGGATGTATTTTGTTAGAAACAGACATGTAGAGAATAACCAAAGCAATGTTCACGATTAATATCCATATCAAATTAGTCCGTATTTTACTAGACATATTGTGTGCCTCACTGTCTTTCATCTCTTCATAACTTATTGACTTCTTTAAATTAAAATTCAAGCGTTGAAAGCAATCAACATATTTTCATATTATAGCGTAAACATATCCGTATATAAGTCCTGTACAAGAGAAGCACATCAACATTTACATATCTCATATTGATAATAATTTAGTTTATTTTTAGTAACCAACTATCTAACTTATCGTAAATATCAGTATGAAAGTAAACAAAGAATTGTTATCATTTAGTTATTTGACCTATTGATAATCATCCAACTTTTTAAACAAAATAGTAACTTTATATGTCTAGTTTAAGCATGTGGGCAATCAGCATTTGATAAATGTTCAATTACCTTTAGCTTACACTGACCTTGTACATAACTGCTCGTAACAGGTACAAATGCAGCATATAAAAATACAGTATTGACTGGGATTCGAACTTGCGAAGTAACAACGCTCTGAACCACGGAATTGATTTTGAGCTTGCACTTATAGACATGAAGGCAGTTGTACACTCAACCATATCACAAACTTTTTTCAGAGGGTCATCTTTGACTTATTATCAAGTCAGAGCCCATTTCGGCTATAATCCAAAAACGGTATGGGACCATTTACGCTTAACAAATGTCACATGACTGTAAAGAGAGGCACGTTACTTCAAAATGGAGGCTACGCCAAAAGAAGACTATTAGTAGACTTTCGCCATACCCAACATGTCACGCGGGCGAAACAGTTTCGATTTTTATGTAACACTGAGAACGTTTCGTTGCTTTGTGGATTGCTGCAAACATTCTACTTTCGCTTTACTAACAACCTGTTATGTATAGGACCGAACGCATCCATAATATATTTTTTGTCTGTTCAATTTAAACACTCTAGTTGCCGTTAGTTATCATTCAATTATAAACAAGAAAATATATCCCTATCAAAATAATTATTTTTTATTAAATTTTGTCAAAATTTTTATAAAACACTTCTAATGGCAGTGGTCTGTTGCAGCAAAGAAAAGGGAGACAACTACGTAGGAACTTGGGGAGGTCGTGTAAATGAAAGTAACAAACATTCCCAGGTCAAGGTCAAATCATCACAAATATCAGGGATGATTGGTTGAATTATCGTTTGTAACCGGGAAGTCGGCGTCAACAAGGGCAGTTTTTGTTAGATGATGTTTTGGCGGTATTGTCGTTTGTTGACCACCACTGAACGAAGAACGTTGTAAAGAAAGACTCTGCAAGAAACGACCCCGCTAATAAGGGCACGACGACAGGACCAGCAAGTGTGCAGATATTCAGTAAAAGAGCAACAGAGGGAGGAATAATTGCCGTATGTGAACCCGGAACTTCGTGAATCTGTATTACATCAACTGAAGCTGTCCGTGCAATATATTTGGTTCGGCGTTTTGCAGGAAATATCCTACCTTCTCGCTATATTACTTTAAGCGTTACCAGCTGATACTTTTCCGCTTGATCTTGTTCAGGAAAGTCATTTTTAATACTTTTCCATTCTTTTCTAAAATATGTACTTTTAAACATAAAAACATTGTAAATGTCTTCATATGGTTTTATTGTTTGTGTTCAGTTAAACAGGTTTTCACCATGGGGAATAATGAACTCATCTAAGTCCACGTTTACTAAATATTCCGAGTCACGCTTAGTTCGAAATAGGCAGTCATTTAAAGCAGCTGTTTGTCCGAAGTAATGAATGTCCGATTGGTCACCGGGACATTTACTTACTCTCATTGGTAATCTCCATTGCACAATTTCCACCAAGCCTCGTTTTGAATAATATTCAAGCACTTTATCGACATTGATTGCAGTCGAAATGTTATCAATAGTGATTTTTTCGGCACCGAGTATTCTATTCAGTTCAATCCACTCCACAAGTTCATACGCCCGGCTGTAGTTAAAATACAGCGAAGACAGGCATACTGAAAAACGCGTTTTATATTTGATAGGTTTTGATACATTTTTCACGGCAAGAATGTTTAGTGGAGTCTCGCATGATCTCATTACAAGCGAGATGTAAGACGGTATTTGATCTGCTCCAAGAAAACACTCAAACACTGTCGCTAAATATCTGCAAAGGACGAAAATGTGCATATATAGCAACATTCATTATTTATTTACAGGCATGAATCAAATCAAGAGAAACTTATTGATATGTAAAACATGACATTGGAAATCATTATGCATCTGATTACTGTTAACACTGATTCCTCTCTGACGAGAAATTTTACATTTAAACAGACTTGAGGCTAAATGTTTCGGACAGTGGCATTTTTTAACTTAAAGTCATTGACTGAGAATCCCACGTGGTGGCGGCATGGCCAAGTGGTTACTCATAACGCGTCAAACTAGTAATCTAAGGTTCGCTAGCCGTGTGGGTTTAATATCATATATAACTTATGGTCGACATTTTAACTGAAATATGGTATGAACGAATAATTAATTTACATGATAACTTACAGTTTACCTTTGCCCTCCGATCGCATTTTGGAAAGCGCCGGATGTTCAGTCATGCGCATATTTCCTTTACTTCCATATGGGTACCAGAATTGACATACACACCTTGGTGTTGATTTATGTTTTGTGCCTATAAAAACACTTTTCTTCTTGCCTTAATGTAATAGACTGTGAAAACAAACAGACTGTTCCCTTTGTCTACAGGGAACCAGGATATCTCATCAACTTGTTCATACTGAAATTTGGTTCCATTACATTCGTCGTTGCGTTCATCAACAAACATTGTTTTATTCAGAACTTGAACGCCTACATCTTTCCTTTTACCTGCTTGTTTTGATTTCAGTTTTGGTTGTATCAATTGTTTAATTTGATCACGATTAGAAACAACGTCTGTTTTCCCGACAGGCGTATGCACATCAGAAACACTGGCGGAATAACCACTACTCTGATAAAACATTACATAGATAAATAATAAAATTCCTTGCAACACAACAAGAACAACGATTAGATATTTAACTTTCCCCTTCATGTTTTATTTCTCCTTCCGTGTTATAGCAAAAGTTATTGTAAACTGTAGTGCCAATTATATGTTTCAATGATCAAGCGAGATTTTACGGGATTATTTTTTCAAAAATAAAAAGAAAAAGAAACTCGATATTGGTGACAAAACATATTGATTTTAAATTGAGGGTAAGTTTGAATAATGGACAGTTGTAATGAAATAATATTATTACTACAAGCTATAAATTGATTTTGCTGACCGGTCGCGGCATGTTTGTAAAAACTCTAATGTAAAGAAAGAAACTAGGTGTGTATTATGTATATACTGAATGTAATGCCAAATGATTATGTGCGATGAAATAGGATACCAGTTCCCAATGTAATTTCCTGGAAGTAATATACGAGAAATTACAAAACGGTGAAATAAAGATAAGATAAAACGTTTATTGACACATTTTCGTTTTTAAATGCCCTAAATCTAATCCCTATTTAAAGATCCGGTGATGAATAATAATCACACAGGCGAAACAAGGTCCACGGTTTATACATGTTTATTTATTCGGTCTATTTATTTTAATATTCTGACAAGATTTATTTTCTTTCGGAAAAATACGTAAAATTGAGCAAAATTTTGTATCTTTCGTAGGACATTTTGGAAAAACTGCTAGATTCTAAAAGTATGAAATTCATGTACATAAAAGTGCTTTTAACTTGTCAGAGGTGTTTATGTTCATTGTTTTAAACTGAAGTTGAATATGAACAATGACTTTGTAAAATATTTAGGCGTTAATCGATATTCAGATCTTGACCTGTATTTTATGATGTTTCAATAAACTACCTAAAATAATTTCAATGAATTGACTACTTTAAGAAATATCATCTAAAAATCTTATTTTGTGCAAAATTGCAGGTAAAAAGGAGACATCAATATGCAAACATTTATGGGTCCGAACCAAAATTGACGAGTATTTTATGATATTACATCAGTGCATATTAATAATTATAACAAGCCATCGACTCATTCAGAAGTTATCATCTGAAACCTTATTTTTCTCGAAAATCTGAAGATGAAAAGGGACATACCACTGTAAATAGTTAGTAGTGTGAACCCGAATTCGAAAATGATCTCTATTTTACAATGTATCAAATGTATACCATCAATTATTACCATCTGTTGATTCCTTCAAACGTCAGTGTAAATATAATTAATTTTTAAAGACATCATGAAAACTGACATTTTTATCATCATCATCATATCTTTGCGCTTAAAGCAATACTTGCTTCTTTTTAAAATGGCGTTAAAATTGACGGTTTTTAGCCGCTATGTAAGATAATAAATTTTTTGTCCAGCTTAGACAGGCAGGTATATTATAATTATATAAAAAAAAAATGGAAGCCAAGCTTTGGTTATGATTTGGATGGATTTGGAGTTTTAGGTCGTTTTCTATCGTTTCCTCAGTATAATCCTCTTCCAGAAACAGACTTGAAATCAAAAACATTATTTTGGCAGTTCCTGTCTTAATAACTCAACCAGAAAAAAATTATCAGTTACATCAAATCATACAAGCAATCGCTGATTAACTAAAATTTCGAAAATACATGGACATTATAGTTCAAAAAGCAAAGAAAAACAGAAATATTTTTCGTTTCCTTTTACTGTTTTTTTTCCAGTTTATTTTCAGTTTCCGACGAAAAAGGTTAAAATCAGTTGATAAATACTCCCGACATTTTCAAAAGTGAGGTATTTAAACTACATACTTAAATTCTATACGTTGATAAATAATAGTCAAGGGATGTTTCTACTAAAGAAATGGCGAGACCGTAAGGCCGAGACAAATTTTTGCAGAAACATCTCGAGATGTCACCCAGCCAGTGTTATATCCTCGTAACTAACGAGTTTCATGTACTATAACTGTTTAATTGCAATGGCATAATGTTCTCTTTTTTGAAATAGAAATAAATAAATAGATAAATAAATAAATAAAGCCTCTGTGAAAAAAAACTACGCTGATACATACAAGGTGCGAAAAAAAAACTCAACCGCTATATAGCAGTCGATTCTTTTACTATATGAATCAATGAAATAACTGTACTGCTATATATCAATACAGTTATCAAATGCTAATTGAAGTGTACTGGGTATAATGGGTAAGTAAGAACAAAGGAAAAATTCGGACTGATGTTGTTTAGTAATTATCTGCCTTTATTTTTCTTTGAGATAAAAACTTCTTGAACATTCTG